AAATCCATCTAACGGCTTTTATCCCTTTTTTAAGAGAAGGGTAGGTTTAAAAATATTTTATTTCAAATTAAGCTTGAAATATTTTAGTTAGATGTGATAAGACTATTTAAACATATTAATATAAAAAATTAAACTCACTGAAATTGGGTTAAATAATATTGTTGTGTATGCCAAGGTCTCCGAATGTTTTTAGAAGTTGTTTATTATTAGTATACAAAACTATATAAAAAAATACTCTAATTGTTGAAGCAATTTATTATTTAAATTCTATTTACAAAATATTTTAAATAAAGGTGTTGTGCTGATTTATTTTGACACATGTTTTATTTGTTTTATAATTTCTTTTTAAATATCCGTAAAAATTTAAAAAAAGTATTAGTTCTAATACTTATATATTATTTTAATTAAAATAAAAATAAAAAAAATTAATAAAGCTATCCATAATTTAGAGTTTATTCATTCACTGTGTCTTTCGTTAGATACAATACAAATAATATAGTTGTCCTAAAATTAAAAATAATTAAATTACTAATAATAATTAATATTGGGTGATATAAAGTATCCGCCGTATTTTAGTAAAAAATTTTAATTAAATTTATATGAGCCGCTATTAACTGTGACCTTTTACCATTTTACGGATAGCATCATAATTCCATCAGTGATTTTTAGCGATCGTTCAGTGATTTTTAGCTGCTCTTTGGTTGGTCAATTTTTCACCAGGCACCAAAACAAATTATAGACAGACAGTGTCAGGTCTGGACTATACGGATTCATCAAAGATGTGTATGATTTGGTATTGTCATAATAGAACACACTCCCTTTGCTGTTGACAAATTCTGATCGCTATTTGTTGATTGTTTCGTTTAAGCAGTTGAGTTGTAAGCAGTAAATAACCGAATAAACCGTTGCACCAGGCTAGATCAGTTTGTAATTGACAATTACTTTCAAAAACCACTACACACTCAACATTTATTTTCCCTCGATACAGGCTTTGAAGTCAATTATGAAATTAATAATGGCTTTTGACTTATATTTCATATTTCATAACTTTTCAGCGGTAAATAATGTGGTACCCAAACATCCATCATCTTTGAGTAGCCTATTTTTTTATTAAATAATATGAAACTCATGATTTAGTTTTTATATCAGTTAATATAATGCTAAAGTGAGTCACAATTTTGGTAATTGTACAGCTTTTGAGCATTAATTTGAAATACCACCTGTAAGTAAAAGAATAATTTTTTTGCACCCTTAGCGCTTAATCCGAAATAATCCAAAATAAATTTTAAAGTATATTTAGATCAAGTTGATATAGTTCACTTAAATTATTAAAAAGCGTAATTCTAAATAAAATGTGATACCTTTCCTAACTTCCTTCCTGGTATAAATTATTTTAGTGCCATCCATATTAGCAATATAGTAAACCGGTATTAAAATCACAGTAACAATAATTTTCCTAAGTAAGTTTTATAGTACAATCTTACCCTCTAAAATTTAACAGATGCCGCATTAAATGCAAAACCTTTTGTTACTCTCTAAAGTTTAACAGATGCCTGGTCTTGTACTATTAGCGTTGGGTTATTATATGACTACCTACAGAACAATGACGGTATTTAATTCTTAATAATAGTAACTCTTTTGAGTTAAATCTTAAGTTCTAGAGTTCAAAACATACCAGCCCACTCTTAGATAGATTTTTAACGGCTTGGAAACTTATCACCACATCACTATATCCTTTGAAGATTGTTGTGACAAACTCATTTTAAAAATGCCATTATGTCCTTTGGAGATATGTTGCGAAATTTTGTTATAATTGGATAGGTATTTGATGAGTACCGAAATCTGAGTCTGGTGAGACAATCACAGTAACACTGAATGTATTTTGCTGTTTTCTATTCTTCATAGCAAAGTATGCAGTTATAGCTTTTTGTAATACCTACCAGCCCACTTACAAATAGCTCTTAATATCTATCACTCTAATCTATCAATAAAGTGTATAAAAAAGAATCTTATGAGTAGACATTTACTTTGCATTTATCAACGATATTTATGTCCGAAAATTTAAACAAGTAAAATACTAAACTTTGCCGACATTTCAATACCAAAACATCTGACAGCTCGACACCATTATTACACCTTATGAGCTGGTTTAGTGTTTTCCCTGCCGAAGTCTTTATCTAGAATTTTAGTTGACTAATCAAAGCTAGCGTAAAACTTAACCAGGGGCTAATAAGGAACCAGCGTACAATATCATTGATCTGGCTTAAACGACAAAAGCTTCCTCAGCAGAGGATTGAATACTGATGTCTACATTTCATCAATTAATTTGGTGTCCCAAGTATGTGAACTTCACAACAGGTGTCCTATTCCCCCTCGCTATGCAAACGGCGGCAAGAATCAAAAGCTTCCTGAGCAGAGGATTGAATACTGATCTCTATATTTCATCAATCTTAATTTGGTGTCCCAAGTATGTGAACTTCAAAACAAGTGTCCCGTTCCCCCTCGCTATGCAAACGGATTGCCCTCCATGCATAGAGTCTGTATTTTTTGAGATAAAGGAATAAAATTTTATAGTGTTTTTTGAAACACTTACTTATTTGACCATAACAGCCCGTTACCGAATTTCGACCTGACGCAGCAAGGTCCCAGTTTTTACAAGGACCTTTGCCGCGTGCACGCCTTCTTCAGTCCCGTACATTAAATCCGGTTAGTGCTCTTTTAACTTGATAATTCTACCGGAGACGCGGTCTATCTCTATGCCTTCTTTCTCCAATTACTGCTTTAAACACCTCGCTGAAGCATATTCATCCATTCTCACAATATAACCAAGCCTACAAAGCCGCTGGATGTTAATTCACTTAATTATATCAATGTCGTCGTAATAAAGCTCGTACAAGTCGTGATTCATTCGTATGCGCTTCGTTGTTGTTTAGTCGCTGTAAAGCAACATTTTCGTCCTTACAGGTTGATGCTCCAGGCTTAAATCCTTAAGTCAGACACGCGTTTTTTGAGTGAGTTTTTTGGGGCACGCGTTATTAAAATAGTTACATATGTTAAAATTGTGTACAAATCAGATCTGATTGATACAAAGGTTCTATATAAAAGTAGTAACTATATTTCAGAATCTTAAGATATTTCATGAATAAAACATAAATAGCTGCAATTTTCTTTCGATAAAATTCCGAAAATAAAGAAAAATGTCACATTCAATAGCTATTGCTCCTTGGCATGACGGAAATATAACTTACCTTAGTGCGAATATACTTTAACAGATAAATAGAGAGTGGACCCAATACAAAGTACTAAAAATATTTTAATTATTGGAAATGCAATACCTTGTAACAAGGTTTTTTAGTGTAGTTCGCTAATAGTTTTTTGTTTTGCATTCCTTATTAGTTTTTTATTGACGCTTCACACTTTTGCTTTGTTTATTTTAAAGTACAGTAATCCCCCGGAAAACTCGTTATAGGGATTCCCGCATACCCCGTATACACACGTTCAAAGGTATGCGAATCTAATTAGAAACTGTAAAAATCCTTGCGTTATATAGGGGAATGCTCGTGTTGTACGGAGGATTGAAGTCGCGTAATATAAAAACAGTTTATAAGAGTACAGCGTTATAAGGGGAATTACTGTATATATTTGTGTTAGGTTAAGCACTAACTACATGCGTGGCTGATTAAGAGTTTACCTCGTAATTGATATAAATTCAATTTAATAGGGTAATACATATTAATTTAAATATTTTAAATTTAGTTTAAACAATTAGGATCAAATTCTTTATTAATTTTGGTAAAAGGAATATTTTAGTTTTTAATAAATATACGTTACCTGGGAATAGCCGATTGAACTGTACACTCTCTCCTTTGTATATTATTACTGCATGTATATTGAAACTCATACCGCAATATCATTCGGTCTATAGCTGTGAAGACAGTTTTTTTTTTTAATGCATTTTTTGGTAACAGTTTTAAGTCCATATGTTACTACAAATTATCTACAAATCATATAACCTTTAATATTTTGGCTAAAAAAATGTTTTTTAATTTTAAAAGCAAGTTATTGGGCAACTTTAAAAGTATTCCATCTGAAGTTACAAACGTGTGAATTTCAATATATCTCAGAAGAACATAATTTTTATTCAATGGAACACTTTGACTTAAGACTATGGTAGTTTATGCTAAATAAAACGCGGCCTTAAACAGTATAATCAGAAAAGTAATACGTATTCTAAAATTATGATAGTGAGAAACAATATTACTAAGTTTCAGGAACTTTGTTTAAAAATTTTGAAAAAATCTAACAATTACATTATTCGTCTTATTAATTTATTAATATAATTAACGGACAAGGTTTTTACATTGGATCAAATTGAATAATTTCCAAAGTAATTTGCTCCGTTAAATCCAAAAGTAGTAATAAAAATTCTGAAAGTGATTATAGAGATACTAAGAAATTTCCATTGGATTTAAGAGGACAGGTCAGTTTTGAAGTTGTTGATCCATTTCTACTAAAGCTTAAACCTTTTCTGATTGCATTACTCACATCATCAGTAGTAGTAAATTTGCCTGTTGTTGTCGCAGTATATTAAGTTAAAAAGTTTTTAAATTTAATATTTATGTTGCAAAATTTAATCCAGGTAACATTTAAAAGTTGTGAATCATTCTATTTGTTGCTCAAATTACTTAAAAAATTAATAAAAAAAATTAACTAAGTTTAAAACTTAAGAAATTTTAAAAAGAAGCATTACTTCTTATGGATATTATTTTTCGTTTTATAATACCTTCATAGTTAATAAATATTAATAAATTTACCTCTTTCTCTCTTTCTTTGTTTTACTAATAAAGGGCAATAGACTCTCAAAATCGCTTACATTTTCAATCCGTTATCGTTTATTTGAATATTTTTTGATTTATATAAATATTTGCTAATTAATGTAAATATTTGTTTTATGCTAATAAATTTAATAATAAATAATTTATACTTTATTTTGTTTTCAGTGTCTACAAGTTGCCACAAATGTAACAGAACAAAAACATCATGTAACGAGAGAAATAAGAGGAAAGAATTTAGGTTTATGTCGAGGGTTTCGAGGATGCACTGTTTGGTTAACCGGTAAGACATATATACTGCTATCTAATACTGCTACTTATATTAAATAATAGTGTATAAAGTAAGATTATTTTATTAAATAAAATTAAAATTAATATATCTCAAAATAGAAAAATTAGACAAAAAAATAATTTTTTCCTATTTTTCCGCTAACTGTTAGGACTGAGTGGTGCCGGCAAAACTTCAATTGCCTTTGAATTAGAGGCTTATCTAGTGTCACGTGGCATTCCTGCATACGGCCTTGATGGTGATAATATACGCACAGGTTTGAATAAAAATCTAGGTTTTACACCGGCAGATAGAGAGGAAAATATACGTCGTGTTGGTGAAGTAGCAAAATTATTTGCTGATAGTGGCGTTGTAGCGATTTGCAGTTTTGTTTCACCATTTGCGGATGACCGTGAATTAGTGCGGAAAATACATAAAGACTCGGATCTTAAATTTTATGAAGTCTATGTAGATACACCTTTGTCAGTGTGTGAGACGAGAGATGTTAAAGGCTTATATAAAAAAGCTAGGGAAGGTATTATTAAGGGATTTACTGGTATAACGCAAGAATATGAAGTTCCACAACATCCAGAAATAGTAGTAAGCACAGATGGGTTTACGATACAGGAATCTACACAAAAAGTGATACATCTACTAGAAGAAGAAGCGATAATACCTAAAACCTTGCGAGACATCAATCAAGTAGGTTTTTATTAGAATTTTTATATATATATTATTTTTCCTCTATAATTATTTTTAATTATTCTTATTATCTAAGCTTCCTGAACTCTTCATAGATTCAAGTCGCACAGAAGCAGCTTTGCACGAAATAAAATCTTTAAAAACAATTCCTATCACTAAAATAGAACTGCAATGGTTGCAAATTTTATCAGAAGGTTGGGCATATCCTTTAAAAGGATTTATGCGTGAACAAGAATACCTTCAAACTTTGCATTTTAATTCCATATTAACGGAAGATGGTGCCTTCCGTGAAAATCAATCGGTGCCTATTGTATTATCTGTATCAGCTGATGCTAAAGAGAAATTAGATGGTATTAAATTATAGCAAAATACAAATAAAAAAAGTGTCTATATTCATAATTTTTTTTACAGGTGTCTCTGCGCTAGCTCTTACTTACAATGATAAAGCTATAGCTATTCTACGCAAACCTGAATTTTATTATCATCGAAAAGAAGAACGATTATCTCGTCAATTTGGTACAAGCAATCCTAATCATCCATATGCTAAAATGGTCTTTGAATCAGGTGACTATTTAGTTGGCGGTGATTTAGAAGTTCTTGAAAGAGTTCGCTGGAATGATGGTTTAGATCAATATCGCTTAACTCCAAATGAGCTGAGACAGAAATTTGCTGATATGCAGGCTGACGCTATATTTGCATTTCAAGTAAGTACATAATATATTCAAAAATGCATATTTTATTTTATTATATCCAATATATATGAAAATTTGCATAATAACAACTTTTAGTTTTTTAAAAGCGTAAATATCCTTTTGCATAACAAAATTCCTAATAAGTCAAATTTGAAGTTTTTACTTTTATGAGACCATGGTTTATATTTCGTACAAGATGACCGTGTGGGTCTGTATTTGTATTGTTATTAGACAATAATTTTTACTAAATAGTACAGGATTTTTCCTTCTCGTGCAACAAGGACGATTAATTCTGCCTTAACTTGATCCCCTACAGGTTCTTCCTTCCACTGTAGTTTCAAACACATTTTTGCTGGACCATAGCTGGATAAGATAGTTGTCTAAAACTCGTAGAAATCTAACGATCTTGCAAAGAATTTTTCTCTTTAACATTGTCAGTGTTGCGTCATTATTCTGTGATGAAAGTCCATGCTTCTACGGAATGCAGAATCATAGGTATAACCAACGAACTGTAGAGCGTAAATTGTTGTGATCACAGTTAAGTTCTATATCGTAATTGCGTACTAAACACATTGTAACCATGATTCTTGTTGGTTACTGTTAAGCAAAGACAATAGTAACTTTATGTTCGCTACCACTCATGATGCGTAAGCAAGTAGTTGGATACAAGTGTGATATATCGTACAATTGCGATTGTAAAATTGACGAGATCAGATAGACTGCTACCTTGACGAAGTTACGCCATGCAGTTACAAAGAAAACTTCCAACTTAAAGCGAGATTAAAGATTAGATCGATGCTTGGCCATAATGTAATTAACAACAGATGCCTGCGTAACCTGCCGGAGAGCGCAATACCGCTTATCACTAACGTAATTAATTGCATGCTCAATCTAGGTGAATTTCCTAAGACCTGGTAGCTGGCTACAGTCATTGTCTTACCTAAACCGGATAATAACCCACAATTATCGCAGAACTGGCGCCCCATAAGCCTGCTATCAACGATAGGAAAGCTAGTCGAAAGGGTAATTCTTGGTAAATTAAATGCTGTAGTGGCTTCACGGAATATACTCCCTGACGAACAATTTGGCTTTAGAAATAACCTGTCTACAGAGCTTCCATTGGCTGGAACGACCCAAATGATTCAAACAGCCCTCAGTAGACGAGAGTCGACTGGAATGATCATTTTTGACATTTTTAAAGCTTTTGACAAGGTCTGACACGATGGCTCGATAGTAAAAATGTATATAAAAAAAATGTAATATATGTGTTCAGGCAGGCTAACTAAGATCATCGGCAGCTACCTACGTGGGAGGTCGTTTCGCACGAAAATCAACAGCGCTCTCTCGTCAGTCCGAACTATAGAAGCAGGAGTTCCTCAGGAATCGCCACTTTCCCCCAATCTCTACAACATTTATACATCTGATATCTCAATGTTAGGGCCCTCGACTCTGGCGTTGTATGCTGACGACGTATGCTATACTCGGATAAATGTGCTCTCAACATAACCAATACACTTCAAGAGCATATAAACCTCATCCTGGAGTATTTCCAGAAATGGAAAGTACTCCACGCGTAAGTGGAGACAGAACTCGTCAAGAGTGAGAATGGGAGATATGGTAATAAACTGGGAGGATAGCATTAAATATCTAGCCATCACGGTGGACAAATACATGGCTTAAGCATGTTCAATTAAAAAGTATTAGCTATGCCAAAATTCTTCATCACCTCCAACCACTATTCAAAAATGAAAGTCTCAATACTAACAGGAAGCTGTTATATAACCAAATAATTCGACCGTCACTTCTATATGGATGTGTAGTGTTTAGCAAAGCCTAAAACACTACTATTCGCCAGCTAGAAATTGCACAAAGCCAGGCTCTGAGAAGACTTTTCGAGGTACCTTGGCAAATTAGGACAAATGACATCCTCAGGGACCTTAAGATTTATCTGATCAAAAAATACTGACAAGCTTACAAACACTGCGTTGTCGAATATCGGAATGGTTACAGAATGGGGAGCTATGCAGGTCTGAGGTCAATTATAGCTTAGTCTGATGAAGTGATAAACAATAATCCAGTCAAGGCGTAGAGGGATATTGAAGAAACCTCGCAGTTAATAGAGAATAAAAATGCTCAAGTGCATTGACTCAACTAGCCTCAACATAATACATAATAATTATAAAACTGATATATATAAATAAATACTAAATAATAAGGGAAAATAAATTAAATTTTAATAAATAACATACAATACGAAATATAATTAATTATTAGCAATATAATATTCCGTCTTGTGACCATACACAATATTATAATAAATTGAATAAATATGTAAACAATGTACAAATTTAAAACATATTTAATATATAATATTAAACAAATCTGTCGTAACACTCTGAGTTGGAGAGGGAATTCAGCGTGTTTTTAGCGGTACGTATACTTGAAGAGGTATACTTACGAATACTCTCGTATACCTTTTTCGTATACTTGAATGACTTATTAATTGTAAATGCTTGCGTTTTTATACAAATACAAAAAAGAGAGAAAATTTAAAGTTTCCTTTGACGCAATCAGTCAGTGCACAACTTTAATCAAATGCAATACAAAGTACATCTAAAGTCTAACTTAAAGCATAAAACGAATATAATTTCACAGAAAATGTCTGTAATTTTATAACGTAGCTTTTTTAAAAAGTGGTCTTACTTTAATTGGGCTAAATCATTTCGTTATAATTGATTGTTCGTGAATTCTATATATATATATTAGGGTGCCATTAATTTTCGAAAGTCGGAAAATTGCCCGCGGCACCCCCCAGATCGGTTCATTTTACTAAAAAAATAATCTGTGTGAAATTTTAGTTCAATTGGATAAGTGGAAATGGTGCCCCAAGAGCCTCAAAGATTGAAAAATATCGATTTTTTCCATAAAATTCATCTTTGATTGCTTATATCTCCGACATATTTAATTTTACAAAAAAGTTATAGATCTATTTAAAATAAACAATTCACTCATACAAAGTTTTTCTGTATTTCTAATAGTTATTGAATAAAACAAAAAATAAGTTGAAGTCACCCGATTGCTAGCTTTGAAAGTACTATGAATGTAATTGTCCGCTTCAGCTTTACAAAAAATTTGATATTTCTAAAAAATTTAAAATAAATTCAATATTTCCAAAATTTAATCTTTCTAATAATAAAAAAGTACTAATTCTA